GAGACAATATAGCAAAGGTACTTTGCAAGCCTTAAATATCATACTAGCTATTATTAATATTGTAATTATTGCTATGATCATTACAGAAGTCTCAAGTTGTTTAAATAGGAAATAGACAAATTTCCTGGCCAAGCAAAGATGATTGTCAAGGACAATCCTAGTTTAGAATATAACCTTTGAAAAATAAAGTGGATGAAAGTAAAAGAACACTACGATCAGTATTTCCTCAGAAAACAGCCAATACATTGAAGAAATATGTTATATTGCACATTGAATATACATTGAAGAAATGCATTGAAGAAAATGAACTAATAGAAAGTTAGCAATAAATTAGATAAGGGGGCAAGGGCAAGAAGCATTTTTAAAGCACTTACTGTATTCTAGGCACTGTGCTATTCACTTTTCAAATATTATCCCATTTGATACTCACAATGGCCCAGGAATGTAGGCATTATTATTACCATCCTCACTTTATAGTTGAGGAAACTGAGGCAGATAGGTTAAGCAACTTTCCCATGATCACACTGTTATTAAATGTCTGAGGCTGGATTTGAACTCAAGTCTTCTTGACTTCAGGAATAGCACTCTATCCACTGCACTACCTTGCCACATAAAGTAATAAATAATATTATTTTGAAAGCACTGGAAATGTGGTGGAGAAAAACAAAGACTTGTGAAAGGGAACAGATTTGTTTGCATTTTTATAGTAATTTTCATAATGTAACCATCACATTTTTAATTTTAAAAAATTTTATTGACATATTTTGTTCTTACACATTGATTTGATAGAAAAAAACACTACCTTAAAGGTTGTTCAACAAAGTAATTTTCATATGTATGCTAAATCATATAGATTCCTTGAAAGATCCAGCAACAAAGATGACTACCAAAGTAATCATCTGTTTATTAATATCAAGTTTTCATTAAATGGGGAGGCATATACTCCTCAGGAAGGCATATTCATTTATCAATATAAATTGATAAATCTCCACACCCTTTTCCACTCCTACCTAGAAAGTCATCCTGTGTAAGAAAAACAAATAAAACAATTCAGCAAAACTACACTTCAACCAGGTCTAAGAGTGCATGCTTGTTTCACACTTACAATCACCCACTAAAGCAAAAAAAAAAAAAAAAGAGGAGATACATTTTTCATCTCTTCTTCAGGAAAAGTTTGATCTCTGTAATTACATTGAATTTAGGTTTTTTTTATTATTCTTTCAATTTATAGTATAGCCATTGTGTTTGTTAATTTCCTTGTTCTGCTTACTTCACTTTGCAACAGTTCAAATAAGTCTTCCCATGTTTCTCTGAATTTTTTATATTTATTTTTTCTTATAATGTAGTAATATTATATTATATTCACCTACCATAATTTATTTATCCATCCCTCATTAATTAGCATTTACTTTATTTCTAGTCCTTGCTATCAAAAAAAACAAAACAAAACACGTTTTGCTATAAATATTTTGGAAACTTTCTTTCTATGACTCCCTTGGGATGTGTGCCTACCAATGAGATTTCTGAGTCAAAGGATATGGACAATTTAGTCACTTTTTAGATGAATTCAAATTGTTTTCCAGAATGTTGAACCAATTCCAAGAGTGCATTCATATATCTGTCTTTAACAGCACCTCCCACATTGCCTATTCCCATGTTTTGTTATCTTTGATGATTTGTTGAGCATGAAACAAGATTACTTTGACTTGTATTTCAATTATTATTTTTATTATGAGCAATCTCTCCTATTGTTTTTTCAGAGTTTGTAGTTCTTTGGATAATTATGTGTTTATATCATTTACCCACTTATTTATTGAGGAATAGTCTTTGGTCTCATATATTTATGTTAGTTTCCTAAATATATTGAATATCAGACCAATAGCTTGATGTTGGACCTGCCCGCCTTAAGTCTCTCCCCACTCCAATCCATCTTCCATTCAGCCACTAAAGTGATTTTCCTAAAACACAGATCTGATCATGTCCCTCCCCTCCTCCATAAACTCCAGTGACTTCCTATAACTTCCAGAAGCAAATATAAAATGCTCTGTTTGGCATTTAAAGCCTATCATAACCCAATCCCCTCCTACCTTTCCAATTTTCTTACAACATACTCCATAACATGTATTCTTCAATCCAGTGACACTGGCTTCCTGGCTGCTCCACAAATAAGACATTTCATCTCTTGACCCTGAGCATTTTATCTGGCTGTCCCCACACTCCTGGAACATTATACCTCCTTCACTCTTACTACTGACCTTCCTAGCTTCCTTTAAATCTAAACTAAAATCTCACTTTCTACAAGAAGCCTTCTCCAGCCTCACTTAATTCTAATGCCTTCTCTCAGTTAACTATTTCCTATTTATCCTGTATATAGCTTGCTTTGTATATATTTGTTTACATGTTGTCTCCCCAATTAGATTATAAACTTCTTGAGGGCAGTGCCTCTTTTTGTGTTCCTAGCACTTTGTACAGTGCCTGGCACTTAGTAGATAGTTAATAAATATTTCTGATTATCAGAGATATTTGATGCCAATTTTTATTTTTCCCTCAAGTGACAGCTTCCTTCCTAGTTGTGTTGATTTGCAAAAATAAAAAAAAAGATTTTCAATTTCATGTAATAGAAATGACCTATTTTTTTCTTTTGTGATCATGTCTTTTTTTTTTTTTATTAAAAACTGTTCCCATAATCCAAATGTTTCCAATTTTTGGTCCCTGTACTCCTTGGCTTTCCTTCCTCATATCCTCTATTCAATATCAAATGAAATGCATTCTAGAATTTAAAGTGCGTAGACAAATAAGAAATAAGATTAATAAAATTTCATAAAGTAAATTTTATTTGGTAAGTGACTTTTAAGTAACATAAAGCTGTCAAAGGCATAGCAGAACACAGTCAAATAAATATTCTATATCTGCCCTGGGGTACACTACCACAATTCCTACCCTCTTGGGAACCTCTCCCCTGCTCATGGATATACCTGCTCTTATTCTTTTCTAATATATGTGTACACACACACACACACACACACACACACACACACACACACACACATATACATATAGTTTAATGGTTTGACTTTTAATATTCAGGTTGCATAGGCGGGAATCACATTTGGACTGTTCTGCCTCTTTACCTCATATCCTATATGAGGAAGTAATAATGGTTCTTAACAAGATAAAGTCAGGAAGAACAGCTGGATCCAAACAAAGCTATATGCAAGAAAAAAAAATCCATACTGGAAATAAAGTACCTTTAATGGTACTTAGAGTTTAACTTCCAGATATATTCCAGATATATTTTGAAGAGTTAAATAAAAAATAGTGCTGCCTAGCACTCCCCCCAACACAATAGACAACCATGAAGACAACAACAAGTTTCTGATTTACATTCTGATTTGGCCATCTCCATAAAATCTGTAGTAAAATGGTCTAGGCATGCATTCAAAATACATTTAATGGAAACATCAGGACCTGGGTTGGAATGCCACCTATGGAACTTACTACCCATGTAATTTGGACAAATCACTGAACAGCCTTATGCCTCAGTTTCCTCATCTGTAAAATGGGGATAATAGCACCTACCTCCCTGGATTGTTGGGAAGATCAAATGAGATATATGTAAAGTACTTAGTACAGTGCCTGACACATAGTAGGTGCTTAATACATGAATAAATCCTTACTTTCTTCTTTCTCCATACATCAAAATCTCAGGAGGCTCAGTGAGGAACATGACTATGTAACTTTGAATGTGTGAATTGGGCAAGTCACTTAACTTCCCTGGGATTTAGTTCCTTCATCTGTAAAAATGTGGAGATTGGATTACATAGGTTCTGTGCTGCCATCCAGCTCTGGACCTAGCCCTACGAAGAGGCTTACTTTTTCAGACAGCTTTGTGCTATGGACTAATTCTTCTCAGTCATATTACTGACTAAGAAGTATAGAGAATAGTTAGAATGAATAGTAGAGGATAAAAATACCTCTTCTATCAACCTTTCACAGGGATATGATAAAAAATGGGATAATGCATATGAATTCCCTATAAAGAGCTACAAATCATATGAACACAGTTTGTCCCAAAAGTAAATAGAATAAAACAAGCATTTCCATAACATAATACAACAAAAAGGACGATTGCATATGAAAACGCAAATCTACTATGCACAACTTGCTATTCCTTTCAAATATACAACAAAGTTATCATAGTTTAAAACTGCTGTAAGACTTTGAGGACACCCATTTTGTGAGCCTATATACAAATATTGGGTACCACTTTGCATAGTATTTATTGTTTTATTTTGGTGGGGTAGGGGGTTTGCTGGCTCTCCCTATCTCAGTCAAGATGGAAGTACAGAGACCACTCATGGGTTCATTCCACATACTGATCAGCATGGAAACTTTAACCTGCTCTGTTTTTCCAACCGAGGCTGATTTACCTTCCTTACGCAATTTGGTGGTCCTCACCTGCCATTGTGCAGAGCGCAATGTTACCTCCTGAATGACGTTAGCCCTATTGTAGCTCAAAACTCCAGAACTCAAGCTGTCCACTAATCTCTGTATCTCTAGCAAAAGAGACCATAAGTGTGTACTAGAATGTCTGCAGATCCTTTTTGATTTGAAGACATCCTTCTGTTTGAAGGATAAAAAAAATATAGCCTTAAGGGCTTTCTACATAAAAAAACAGATATTCCCTATGGGTACATCAAAATCATAGGAGCTTCTGTGAGTGACATGAATATGACCATCATTTTGTTTAATGATCTGTTGTATATTGAGATAAAGTGGGGTATAAAACAGGAAATAAATGTTTTCCAAAGGTGTTAGCCAGTATATTGAAAGAAGTCCTAAGTACTATCCAAATCAAAGAAAGATGCCTCATTGATAGCAAGGTTGACCAAATTTTCCCCTTTGCCTCCTTGTTCCTTTTTATATGGTATAAGTTGTAGCAAACCATAGAATATTTTTAAGTGAATTCAAGATAAGCATTTCTTTTTTTTCTTTTTCTTTTCAATATGGCATGCTTCATAACTTTGAATGTCATCCAAGCACAGGGGACATACTAATCTTCTATGTATCGTTCCAATTTTAGTACATGTACTGCCTAAGTGAGCACAAGAAAAGCATTTAGTAAAAACCTACCATGTACACCACTGTGCTAGGTGGTAGGGAGAATATAGGGAGAGGAACTAGCCCTGTGATTTCAGTAGCATAGGGAATTCTCTGGTAAGGAAATTCCCTCTACTAATGCAGGTTGGCACCTTCTCTGCCACTAATAGTCTTAAAGAACTTCCTAGACCTGGAGCACTTGAGATTGAAGTGACTTCTGCACAGACAAACAGCCATTACTTGTCATAGGTAGGAGTTGAACCCAAGTCTTCCTGGCATTAAGCCAAACTGTAACCATTACACCTCTGGTGGGGATATGTAATGGAGAGAGCATTACACCTGGAGTCAATAAAACCTGAATTCAAATCTAGCCTCAGGCACTTACTAGCTGTATGACACTGGACAAGTCATTTTACCTCTGTCTACTTCAAATCCTTCATCTATAAAATGGTGATAATAATAGCACCTACCTCCAAGAGGGGCTATGTGGATCAAATGAGATAGTATTTGAAAGGTACTTTATATATTACACAGAGCTATGAAATGCTATCATTATTGTTAATTATTATCACAAAGATAAAACAAGAATGCACACAGATATGAAAATTTGTCTAGTCATTCATGTAAGGTATTTCAGCAGATTTCAGCACTTCATATTTCTATGGCTCATGGATGTCATCTATGTAGAGATCATCTTCCATGCCAATTACAACCCTTCATGTCTTCTACTCTTTTGTGACTCTTACCATTAATATTCTTCAGAGAGTAGAGGGAGTCCCAATATACCAGGGGCCTTCTTCCATATTTCTTCACATTGTATGGATACCAAGACTTCAGGAAGATAGTTTATCACTTTTACTCTATGACTGGCCTGTTCCTCTATAACAGCAAATCATATAGTTTGCTTTTGGAGCCTTTGATTCTAGGTTTCCTGTGGAATTTTTCATTGATAATAAGCAATAGCCCACTGTGCCCATCTCCATTACTCTTTGGGAGATCTACCTAGAATCAAAAATTTAGACCTCTAATTAAACTAGAATTTAAGGTCTCAAAACTGTAGTAAAGCTAGAAACTAAGAAATTATGGCCATAGATTAGATTAAGCTTCATTGCTTTCATGCTAACAAGATGTTTTTTTTAAGATAAATAAAAACCAAAAGCTGTTTGTTCTGAGAATGCAACAAGAAGAAATCAAAGCTGTTTAGAATTTTTGCAATGATTAAAATCTGACATCTGAGGTTGCTTAAAATTGCACATTATCTCCTATCTTGTTTATACTACAATAGGATCTTTGAGCTTACTTCCTTGATGTAAACAATTCTGTCCTGACCTCAATGTTTTAAATGTAGATGTTAAATTGGAAATAGCAATCTACATTACTCTTGAGAATGCATAAAAGCTACCAGATCATGTCTGTTACTCAAAGTTCTCTCTCTCTCTCTCTCTCTCTCTCTCTCTCTCTCTCTC